TCAGTATCCCATTCCCGCTTTCTCTCCATACCCTTTGATCCCTATAGCCACAAGGCCTACATCCACCTCTCTCTTGAATACTTATCATGATCTGGCACCAACCACTTCCTGTGGGAGATAATTCTACAGGTAACAACTCTCTGAGTGAAGAAATCCCTCCTCATCTCAGTCCTGAATGGCTTACCCCTTATTCTTAGACTGTGACCCCTAGTTCTGGACTTCCCCAATGTCAGGAACATTCTTCTCGCATCTAGCCTGTTCAATCCCATCAGGATTTTATACGTTTCTATGAGATTTCCCCCCCTCAATCTTCTAAATTCCAGCAAGTACAAACCCGTTCGATCAGTCTTTCCTCATATGTCACTCCTGCCATCCCTGGAATCAGTCTGGTGAACCTTCACTGGGCTTGCTCAATAGCAAGAATGTCCTTCCTCAGACTAAGAGACCCAAACTGCACACAATACTCAAGGTGTGGCCTCACTAAGGCCCTGTATAACCGCAGCAAGACATCCTTACTCTGATACTCAACTCCTCTCGTTATGAAAGCCAGCATGCCAATAGCTTTCCTCACTGTCTGCTGCACCTGCATGCCAAACTTTAGCTACTGTACCACCATGACACCCAGGTCTCCTTGTACCTCACCTTTTCTTAAACCGCCACCATTCAGATAATAATCTGCCTTCCTGTTTTTTGCAACCAAAGTGGGTAACTTCATATTTATCCACGTTATATTGCATCTGCAAAGTATACGCCTACTCAGTCAGTCTGTCCAAGTCACCCTGCAGCCTCTTAGCATCCTCCTCACAGCACACACTGCCACCCAGCTTAGTGTCATCTGCAAATTTGGAGATACGGCATTCAATTCCTTCGTCCAAATCATTAATGCACATTATGAATGGCTGAGGTCCCAGCATTGAACCATGCAGCATCCCACTCACCAAGGCCTGCCACTTTGAAAAGGACCCAATTATTCCAACTCTCTGTTGCCAACCAGTTCACTATCCACATCAATATATTGCCTCCGATACCATGAGCATTAATTTTCTTTACTAATCTCTTGTATGGAACCTTGTCAAAAGCCTGTTGAAAGTCCAGATACACAACATCTACTGATTCACCCTTGCCAACTCTACTGGTCTAGAAGATTTGTTAAGCATGATTTCCCTTTAGTGAATCCATGCTGACTAGGACTGATTCTGTCACCATTTTCCAAATGCTCAGTTTTTACATCCTTAATAAGCAATTCCAGCATTTTCCGCACCATCAATGTCAGGCTAACCGGCCTATAATTCCCCATCATAACATCAAAGTAAGCTTTCTTTAAGTTCAGAACCCTAGTTTCAGACTTAATTGTGTCACTCTCCATTTTAATGAAGAATTTGCCATATTATGGTCACTCTTCCCCAAAGGATCTCGCACCACAATGTTGCTAATTAATCCTCTCTCATTACACAATACCCAGTCTAGGATGGCTTGGTCACAGATCTCCAGTCAGAAAACACCCTTCTACTGCTATTCTCTGTCTTCTATGACCAAGCCAGTTCTGTATGCACCTTACCAGCTCAATTCAGCTCCCATGTGACTTCACACCTTTTGAATCAGCCTGCCAAAAGGTACCTTGTTAAAGGCCTTGCTAAGGCTCAGTGGTTAACCCTGCTGCCTCACAATTCCAGCCGCGGGCAACTGTCTGTGTGGAGTTTGCACATTCTCCCCATGTCTGCGTGAGTTTCCTCTGGGTACTCCGGTTTCCTCCCACAGTCCAAAGATGTGCAGGCTAGGTGGATTGGCTATGCTAAATTGCCCATAGTGTTCAGGGATGTTTAGGTTAGGTGGGTTAGACAAGGGAAATGCAGGAGTATTGGGTCTGGGTGGGGTGCTCTTCGGAGGGGTGGTGTGGACTTGTTGGGCCGAATGGCCTGTTTCCACACTGTAGGAATTCTATGTATGTAAGATAATATCCACCACCCTATCCATATCAATCATGTTTGTCACTTCCTCAAAAAACTCAATCAAGTTTGTGAGACACGACCTCCCCGCACAAAGCCATGCTGCCTGTTGTTAATAAGTTTTTTAAAAAACCCAAAGATCTACAGATGCTAGAAATCAGAAGCAGAAACATAAATTGCTGACAAAACTCAGCAGGTCTGGCAGCAACTGTGGAGAGAAAACAAAGTTAATGTTTCAGGTCTAGTGACCCTTTTCCAGAAGCTAATATGTCCATATTTTTCCAAATGTGAGTAAATCCTGTCCTTAAGAATCTTCTCCAATAATTTTCCTACCACTGAGGAAAAGCTGTAATTGCCCTGATCATCCCTTTTGCCCTTTCCAAACAAAGGAACGACCAACCTCATCCCGCCCCCTTGACCTGTCCGTCCTCCCTGGACTGACCTATCCCCTTCCTAACTCCCCACCTACAC